TTTTTATGATACACTTTTTAGATCTTTGTCATTTTTAACAATACATTTTAACAAGATGAGGATTTTAATTATTAGATGTCTGGATCTTAAGTTATCAGAGAAACAAGCTCAGCTAACGTTAGCAGACGTCCTTTGTCTGCCAAACTGCATAAGAAAAACTGTGATTTTTAAGGTGGAACTGCTTTATTCAGTGTTTTTATTGATTTTAATCAGCAGGTCTGTTTGTTTTGAAGAGGAGGAGACCTCTGTGGATAATTCGGCCCTCAAAGAAAACAACTCCCATGATCCAACGCTGCTTCACCACCTCATCTTAGTGTCTCAGGTGTTTCCAGATTCACTCACAATATATTGTTCCAAAGGCACTGAGCGTATTCTTCCATCCAGCTGTCTCATCAAAGACCTTCTTTCAGGCCACGCTAATGTTTTCACAGAGCTGCTCGCGGACTGACTCACAGGTTATTTGTAGAATAAGCCTTTCATACTATGAGTACACGCCACAATGGGCGATACTGAGCCTATTTTATGACTTCCTACTTGAGAAAACGTACGTAAAAATCACCTCCTGATTCGGGATTGAAGGCCGTACATGGGAAGGCATGTTATCAGCAGCCGTGTGCGTGAGCTTTGTGAGGATTTGTGATCTAAAACTGGTCCCTGATAAGATCCAAAAGCTTAAAATAGAAGCTGAGAAACATCAAACAACCGAGTGAATAATGAATATATATAAACACATCTTTATATTTGCACATCAGAGATATTTCCACCTCTCTCTCTCTCTCTCTCTCTCTGTGTAGTGGAACATTTTATCTGCCGCAGCACTTCAATAAGAAAGGAGGTGATTGAGAAGGTCTGTAGGAGGGGAGAGCTGTATTTACAACTTACATAAGAACGTGTAGAGGAAGCGTTTTCCCTCGACAGCCCGTCCAGAAACGCCCGCAGGCTGCAGCACAGAGCGCATTAACAACCCGTGTACTGACTGTGAAACAGGACGTCAGCGGGGCGATGAGCAAACATCACCTCAACGTTCATTTATTAAACAAAACGTCATCAAGAGACGTCAAAGTGATCAGTGGAGCCAGAGGTTTATATATTAGTGCTTCAGTAGGATCACAGAGGATCTGCAGCCAGCAGGGAAGCTTAGCTCAAACACCGATCACACACACAAAAAATGAAGATATTTGATCTCACAAGCATTTTTATGATTCTATAACTTGTTTTATTTTGAAATCTTCAGCCATTTTTCTAAGTAAATGTCTGTTTTATTTGAATCTAAAGTTTATTTGACACCAAACATCCACTAGATCCGCCCTTATGAGCTCTCCTAGAAACAAAATATTGACAATACACTGCCATTTCTGTATCTTTATCATCATGAATCAGGTGTAAAGTTGAGCTGTTATTGACATAAAATGACCTAAAATCATTCCAGCGTCCATTAAAGTTCATCAGAAACCTCCTGTTAATGTCGTCCATATAGAGGCTCTGCTAATCAGTGTCGGGCAGTAACTCATTATATCACAGTAATAATGTTACTTCCAATATCAATCAATCATTAGTTTGGAAATATTCACATTATTTTGATTTTAACAAACAAAACTGGAGAGAAAAGAACATAATTACTTAAAATAATGACTCAAATATTAAAGAATTAGTGATAAAATTCCAGTTTTGTTCCATTTACTTATTTTCTTTATGTTGACTTTATGTGATTTTATAATTCTTAAGATTTTATTGTTTACAAATCATCATATTCCCAATTACAGCATCAATTTTAAATGATGTTCAAAGTGTAGATGTGATGTTTGTTACATAGAAAACTCAATATTTTGTCCAGTATCTCAATGATTATATTCAGCAGCTGTAAGTAATCTCATTACTTTGATTTTAATCATCATTAGTCTGAATTTTGGGGAGATTTTTCAACTTTTGTGTGGAGTAGCAGAAAAGTAATGTAACTAATTACTGTTGGCAGAGAATAATAAAAAGAGTTGTGGGTAATAAATTACATTTTGTGAGCTTTAATGTGTAATAAATGTGTAATAAATGTGTAATCTTTCCCCTGCAGGGCCTCACCTGTCCGAACAGGGAGTTGAGGATGGTGCGTAAATTGATGTCGGATGCAGAAGAAGCGGCGCTGGACCTCCGGGAGCGGCGGGAGGACCTGCTGGACAGCGGGACCAGGGAGCAGGAGGACGGGGACGGACTGCTGGCCCCTTTCAGCTCCCTCGGCTCGCACAGAGGAGCCCGGTCGTCGGTGCTGTCCGACAGGGAGGGCACCCTGGGGACCGGGCGGGAGTGCGTGTGGCAGCGGCGGGGGTGCTCGGGTTCAGGCGCCGCCGGCGGTGGACGGTCCTCCCGGTTGTGCTTCCTGCGGTGGTGGTGCCGGTGTGCGGGTTTGTTGGAGGACCTGCAGCGCTCCCTCACACCCCGGCCCGCCTCCCCGTTTGGCTCCTGAGGTTCGGGAACTTGTCCGTGAGGGGCGTGTGACCTACACTTGCCCCGAGCGGCGGCGGCGGCGGCGGCGGCGG